TGTGAAGGCTGTGGATCCCTTTTCTATCCGTTCTCTCTCTGCTCTTCTAATCCCAACCCAAAGCCCATCATTCCGCCTACAGGACGCCCTAGGGGTCGAAGCTCTAGCAGAAATCCGAATAAGAGGAAACAGCTCCCGTCCTCCAAACCCCCAATCCCTCGTCCCGCTTCATTGGAAACTGATACTTCTCTCAAGTCCTTACCCATTGAGGTGACTCCTGCACCTCTTATTACTAATACCATTGTTATCCCCCAGTCTGCTTCCCCTGGCAAGTTGGTTTTTGTCTCTCAAATGTTGCCCTCTTCAGCTCTACCTGGCCCTTCCAAGGACCTTACTTTACCTAATCTAAACCTTCCTATGGATGTTGCTTCTTCCTCGGAGCTGACATCCCCATCTTCCTGTATCCCACCACCTAAAATTCCTATTGCTAACAAGTTGGATTCTCTTCAAGCTGATGACTCTGAGCTTCCACTTCAAGATAACCCCTCTGGTAATGATGACTTGCCTGGTCATTCTTTATCTCCAGCACAAACTTCGACTGAATGTTCTTCTTCAGATCGTCTTCAATCCTCTAAATTCAATTCCAAATCCCCCAAAGAAGCCAAAAAAGTTAAGCCTAAAAATGCCAAAAAGGGCAAAGGATCTCGTTATTAATGTCTTGCTCTCCTTTAGCATGTTGGAATGTGAGGGGGTTTAATAATACTGACAAAGTTCGTCTCTGCAAAGATTTGGTCTCTTCTCACTGTCTCAAATTTTTGGCTATTCTGGAAGCTAAGGTCCCTATTTAGTCCACGTTGGACCCGTGGTTTTTGCACGGTCATAAAGTGTTTAAGATGGAGGACAGCTACAACAACTTTTGTTTTTCTAATCCAGGTAGGATCTGGCTTAAGTGGGACAAATCTGCTGTCTCTTTCTCCCCTTCTTTCACATCTTCTCAACTTATTCATGGTACCTTCTCTTGGGGGGCTGCTTTCTTTTTTGAGATGTCTGTTGTCTATGCCTCTAATAATGTGAATGAAAGAAAAGTTCTTTGGGATGATCTTCGGAATGTTGCTCCTTCCCTTGACCTACCTTAGATTATTTTGGGCGATTTTAACTGTTATCGTTTTGAATATGAAAAACTGGTGGGAATCCTCCTTTTCAAAGCTCCTTGGGGGAACTCAATAAATGCATCTTTGATTGTGGTATTCAAGACCTTGCTTCTATTGGGCTTTACTTCACTTGGTACAATCAGCGGGTGGATTCGCCAATCCATATTAAGTTGGACAGGATGCTGGTGAATTCTGAGTTTCTTAACCGTTACCAAAATATTTATTATAAGATTGATCCTCCGGGGGGATCGGATCATTCTCCGCTCATTCTTTTGGATTCGGTTTCTCAGGTTCCTAAGCTGCGTTTCAAATTTAAGAATTACTGGGTCAATTTCGACTCTTTCTGGTGGATTTGGTGCAGGTTTTCTCGAAACCTTATGAGAGTAGTCATATCTCTGAATTTTATCAAAACCTCAGGCATCATAAAAATACTCTCAAACAAAAACATTGGTCTTCCTCCAATTTTCTTTCAAATGCTATCAATGATTTAAAGATCTCTTAGAACCGTTGTTTAGAAGAGATTCAATCTAATCCTTTGAATCCTGTTTTGAACAATTCCCTTAAAGAGATTAATGACCAGCTTGCTGCTCTTCAATCTGCTTGGTCATCTTGGATTTCTCAACGTGCTAAGGCTTATTGGCTTTTGAAAGGTGAAGATGACTTGGGCTTTCTATTTGCTAAGATAAAATATAGAAATTACAGGAATTTCCTTAGAGAAATTAATACCGATCATGGTTCCTTCACTTCTCATTCAACTATTTCTATGGCCATCATTAATCATTTCACTGTTTTATTTAACTCCCCCATTTCTGATGGGTGGGAGGATGTTTCTATCCCGGTTGGTAAGACGGTTCCTGCTGAGCTTCATTCTATGCTTCTTAATCCGGTTTCTGATGATGAGATTAAAAAAGTAGTTTTTTCTGGTAAATCAGATGCTGCCCAGGGACCGAATGGATACTCTTTTGAGTTTTACAAGAAAACTTGGCATGTGCTTGGTCCTAATTTTTGTAGGACTGTTAAATGTTTTTTCTCTACTGCTTACCTTCCAAGAGCTACTAAAGCCACTGCCATTGCGTTAATTCCAAAAAACACACATGCTTCTCATATTTCGGATTATAGACCTATTTCACTTTGCAATGTGTTTTATAAAGTTGTGGCCAAGTTGCTTGCTAACAGACTTAAAGAGGTTCTTCCTCTTGTCATCCATGACAGTCAAGTGGGGTTTATTGCCAAGCATTGTTCTTCCAATAATATTATTTTGGCAGCTGAGTTGTTGAGGGAGTTCAATGCTCATAACAATCTTTTTTGTGCTAAGTTGGACATACAGAAAGCTTTTGACTCTCTCTCTAAAGATTTTCTGTTACATCGCTTAAAACTTAAAGGCTTTCCTGAGCCTTTCATTAAACTGATCAAAAGCTGTATCTCTGATGTTTATTTCTCTGTTTGCATCAATGGTTCTCTTGAAGGCTTTTTTAAGTCATCCTATGGACTTAGATAGGGATGTCCTCTAGCCCCTCTCTTGTTTTGTATTGCTATGGATGGCCTCTCTTGCTGCCTTCAACCTAATCTTTTTAAAGGTATCACTTGTAATGGTGTTAATGAGAACCACTTGATGTACGCTGATGATCTTTTAGTGTTTGGGAAAGCCAATCAAGATAATGTTCATATTTTGTTAAACTCCTTAAATCGCTTTGCTGAGGCTTCTAACCTTTATGTTAACCCTACCAAAAGTTCTATTAAATTTGCTAAAGATGTTAATTCGTCCACTTCTATTGCCGAGCTCTTCGGAATTCTTCAAACTAATTCTTTCCTCACATATCTGGAACTTCCTATCTCTCCTTCGAGACTCAAGTTTTCTCACTTCCAACCCCTACTGAGCAGAATTTTTGCTCTACCTGCGGGTTGGAAAGTTAAGTTTCTGTCTTTTGCAGGGCAGCTACAATTTTTGAAATTTACTATTACTAATACGTTAGCTATTGGATAAGAGGAGCCATAATACCTAAAAGATGTAGATCTATCATTTCTAAGCTATGTTCTAAATTTTTGCTTCATGGTGACTCTGAAGCTAAGAAACTACATTTAATAGCTTGGAGCACTATTGCTAAACCAACAATTCATGGTGGTCTGGGTATACTTTCATTTGATGCTCATTATTTTGGAGTTGCTGGTTCGTTAATTTGGAAGCTTTATAATTCTAACCGTCTGGTGGGAAATTGATTTAAAGCTAAATTTGTGTCACCCTAGAAACCTTTCCCAGCATCTTCTTCCACTTTCTGGAAAATGATTTGTTCTCATGCTACTGCTTTCAAGCAATGCCTCACTTTTTTGGTTGGCCCCAATTGCGGTTATTCCTTCTACTGGGACCCTTGGCTTAACGGTAAACTATTGGGGGATTTTATTTCTGATGAGAGGCTGTCTCTTGCTAAAGTTGGTAATTTCATTTTTAATGGTGCTTGGTGTTTACCTGATGTTTTTCCTCCTGAGGTTAAAGCTGAGATCTTGAATATTCGTATTTTGGAGGAATCGGTATTGATGTGGGATGATACTAGTATGGCAATTTTTAAGAGTTTCACTTCTAAATTTTACTCTAATTTAGAGAAGGTTGCCTGGCATGATTTCGTTTGGTATAAGAAAGCTTCTCTTAAGTTTGCCTGTTACACTTGGATGGCTTTGATTGGTAGGCTTAAATTTGCAGATATTCTTATTAGAAAAGGCATTAATTTTTCTGCACATTGCTCCTTCTGCAATTCTAACAAGGAGACTCTACAACACCTATTTTTTGAATGTGATTTTACCTTTACTGTGTTGTTGTTGGTTCTGCCCATTTTCAACAGTTTTCTGTTCAGGCCTAATATGTTTTTGGCCTTTGATTCGCTGGACTCTGCTTTCTATTCTTCTCCTTTAGAGAAAAACTTTTGCTGCTCTGTCATGGCTTGCACGATTTATAACATTTGGAGGGAGAGAAACAACAGGCGTTTCTCTAACGCTTGGATGTCCCCCAAGGCGGTTGCTGATGGTATTAAAACTATTATCAAAATGAAGGTGAAGTATTGGAAAAATATCGATAGGATCAAACACAAATATGCTGGTATATTCTAATCTTGGTGGTGGTGTACTGGCCTTTTGGCTTTGTATTGCTGGGAAGTTTTATTTTTGGCCTAGGTTGTTGAGGATCACTGGAAGGTTTTTGACTGGCTCCTACATCTCTTTGTTGAATGGTTTGGATGATTGCTGCGGGGGTTCTACAGAGCTGCTTAATTTCTTCAATATTCTGAGTACATCGCTGGGAGTTTTTTATCAAAGGTTGGATTTTTGGGCTGGAATTGCTACTCTGTTGCATTTGGTGCAGGTTTCTGCAAGCCTGCTAGATATTCTAGATATTATCCTTGGTGGCCTTTATGGCTACCAGGAAAGCTGCTTCGGTCCCTAGGTGAATTTTTTGAGGACAATGATGATAACTGCTGGACCTTTCTCCCATTGGAGGGTCGTTTTTCGGCAACCAGGGGATTTTCTGACCATTTTCAGTGATTTCAAGCGGTATATCTGTTCGGTTGGCAGCCTGAGTCCTAGATGCTCTGCATCTAATACCACATTTTGGTTATACATAGGTTTTTTGGTAAATTGAGTGGTATAGTTGTGGTTTCTTTCTTGTCCATATAAGTTTTGTTTTTCTTATGTTGGGTTGTTTTTCTTTTTCATTTACATCTTTACTTGTGATGTTTTCTTTACTCAGTAATAGATGGGTTTACCCAAAATTTCCCAAAAAAAAAAAAAAAACGAAGTCCCCCGGAAGCCTTAGTCCGGGCCGTTTTTTTTTTCCCCAAAAAAAGAAAAAAAAAGCCTTAGTCCGGGCCGACCAATTTGTTTGTCAGCGGGATGGGCCGATAAAATTATAGTGTCGTTGCTAAAATACGCCATGCAGCCATCGTGGGGTCTCTATGTGCTTTAGCTGTGAGCGTTTTGAGCCCGGCGAGTCCGGTGGTGCTCCTTCTCTTCAGCTTTGATCTATCGCAGACTCACCAAAGGAAGTCGATCGACGTGTGTAATCTTTTGAAGCTTAAATCATGTTCCGTGTTGCCAGTTTGCAGCTGAGGGCTCTTAAGGTTGGCAAATCCGAAACCCTAGGTTTAGCAGCGTTTTTCATTTTTTGTCGATTGATCGATACTTTGGAATTCGTCTCAGATTTTGGTGAGGCAACTCGGTTTTTATTTCTCAGACAATGGGATGGGTAACGAGGGGGCTTTTGATAACTAGAGTAGAGTCATAATTGTGCTATCTGGTTCATGGACTGCAAATCTTAGACCTTATATCAGGGAGACAATGACACTTCGCTATATATATCAAGATTCACTGTTATTTATTTATGTTATTATTATAAATTATTAACACAAAAAATATAATGTTATCTGGTACAGCAACATAAAATGTTACTTTTTATAATCCTTTTTGGTGAAGTTGACCTGTTTTCTTCTTAATTGTTATCTGATCTAGTTTGGTCGATGTTTCATTTACAAGCTTTGTGTAAACAACAGCTAAGATATTGTTATTCTGTTCTTGTAGGCTTTGCTATGATTGAAATAGAAAATCCTATGTGTCTATGATAACTGGTGCAACTTTTAGGACAGGAATTTTAATGTGCAAGTTACCTATAACGCTGCATATTGGATTAATGCTTATAGCTTAAGTTGAGGCACTGGAGGTTCGGTTTATTTATTTATTTTGGTTTATTTGATTTAATGAAAAGTGAGTTTAAAGTATTACAAATACTGAGGGTTAGAAATTTCGCCGTTTGGTTTGCCGAAAAAGGAATATAGAGCAATATTTTGGTAATTCTAATTCACTATGCAAAATATTAAAAAAATAACCATGCAGATTATTTTTTATGTATTCAAGATTTATCCATTTTGGCCGAATTTTGATAAATTTTGAATACACCGCAAGTTGATTCTGCTCTCTCCACTGATTGTTAGTCAGTGTCGGCCTCCGCTCATGCCACAGACTACATGCCCACTGCCGCTTGCTTTGCCGCTAGCCGCTTTCCTCCACTACTATTAGTTTCTCGTTTATGCCTTTATCGTCCACCTAATGCATCCAATCGCCACTTGTCGCTGCTATCCACCACTCCACTCATTGTTGCTATTCATCGATGATACCGTTGGCCACCATCTTCTTTAAAATGTACACTGCATTCATTTTATTTTAAACAAAACAAAAATAGTAATCACCTATATTTGTTTTACGCTCATGATTCATCTAAACAACAAAAAACATTTCAAATACATTGATTTTCTTTTATACTATATTTTATTCTAATTTACTTTCATTCCATTTTCAAAAATCCAAGAGGCCCATTATTTATTTATTTTTATACAAGGTTTTGAGGTTAGTCCTATATAAAATATTTGGAAAATCGTATATTAAGAGGTTGAAACTTATCCATAGTCTTAAAAATTTGGGTTGAATATGCGGTTAATCACTAGTGTATCTATCCCATCTTATGGTCTTCCTTTGGTTCACTCTCTTACAATTTGAAAAGCTGTTACCTTGACTCACGACCATGCTGAAAAAGGTGGCTGCTTCTCATGTATGTAATGGTAGTTTGGTACTACCAACTTTATCACACCTTCAAGTTGACAATGGCAGACAGACATTGTTTAGAGAAGGTTCATTATTTTTTCATAATAATAGTGGATTGGTGATGTTGTGGTTGTACTTACATGGCTTAAGTTTAGTCATTTTTATTAATATAGCAGGATATCATTTGTATCAAAGGGCTGATCGGATAATGAATGGTTGGTTTTGGCATGTTTAGTGACATGATGTCCTACTTTCTAAATTCATTGTAATTGGGCAAGTGAATTTTAAAAATGTGGCTTTATTCCCAAAAAATATGAATGGCAAAAGGGGCTGGTGTTATTGATAACAATAATAGAGTCCTACTTTTGTGATTTGGTTCAATGGACTGCAGATATTAGTCTATTAGACTTTATATCAATGAGAAATGGGCACTTTCTGTGATCTCGAGATTCATTGTTGTTTTAGCTGCATTGACAGCTTAACATATTATTGTAATTTGTTAAAACAATAATATATCATGTTGTCTAGTAAAAGTAAAAGTGTAAAACAACATAAAATGCTATTTTTGTTAAACCTTTTTTTTGTACAATCGACTTTTTTTCTTTTTAATTGTCATTTGATATGGATGTACCAGTTTCGTGACTTTGTAAGATATTGTTACCCTATTCTTGTAGGCTTTACTATGATAGAGGGTCTTATAAATCCAAGATAACAAATACAACCTCTAGGAAGGAAATTCTTAGGTGTACATTATATATAAAGCCGTATTGATGATTAAAATAGTAGAGTCATGCTCATAGTTTATGTTGAGGTGTCCGAGGTATTGGGTTTAGCCCTTTTTAAAAAAAATATATATTAGCATATAAATACCAAGAGGTTGACCCTCACCCATAACCATAAATTTTTTGGTTAAGTTTTGATGACTGGTATTTCTCTTAGAGCTTCCTATTAGTTCACTTATAGTTTGAAAAGTGATTATGTTGATTTACGACCATGCTGGCAAATGTGGTTACTTCTCACTTATGCAATTGAAATATGGTACTATCATCTTTATCTCACATTGAGTTTACTATTTTAGAATATTTTTTAATTGTTCATTGATTTTTAATTATAATAGGTTGTTCTTGCATTTACATATCAAACAACTGCAACACAAAACACACACCCTCTAAAATCCTTGTATAATGAGAAGCTCAAGGAGCGGAACAAATCATAAACTCATAAAATAATGTTGTCAATCATTAATCTCTGAGGAAGCAGCAAAAATAAATTTGTTGTGTTTCTTTAAATTTGCATGAGTTGGACTTTGAAGTGTTATATAAGAGACCTACAATCAAATGTATATTTAGACTACCTACTTTGATACATGGTTAGGTTCCACTGTATAGTAGATCACCTTTAACGATTCATAATTTCATATTTAAAGTTGTATGAAGTAGCAATTGATGGTTGAAATACAATAAGATAATCAAAATTTTCATGCTTATCTAGTATGAAGACACTTTATTGATTTTTTAAAATCTTTTCCCTTATTTTCCATATTCAGTGATTCATATTTTGACGTTGAATTATGTACTATGCCATATGCAGAAAAAACCAAATCCTATATCCATGTCTATTTGCCTAACCTTAAACGTGTGGAAATTATTATTTTTATTTGTAACATATATGTAACTATTTTAGATTAATTATGTTGTATTTAATATCCAATAAAATAATCTAAATATTCCTAAACTTTTTTAATTCTATACATAATAAGTCATGTATATTCATTTACTTTTTTCAACATTGGTGATGATACAAAGTATATTGAGACCTCAACTTGATTGTAGACATTTGGAGGCTTTTTTTGTTCAGTTTATCTTAAGTTACATAAAAGCTTATGGATAAAATATTTGGGTTCTTGCAACTCTGTGCTCTTTGGTTTCAAATGATGTTTGAACACTGCATTCTTTATGATTCTTGAATAGTCCATACAAATGCCTTTGTCCTGTTAGGAATGAATGTTTTGGGCCCAAAATCATCTGATTTCCATGCAAAATAATATATTTTTATACTAATCAAGCGTCATATCTCTCAACTTCTAATCAGCATGCCATTAGGGTTGTCTTAGCTCATAATGTGCGATATGTTAGCATGGGACTAGATCATAGCCTAGCCTGAGGTTTTATGATGTTTACTCTTGAGAATTTTTAGCAGAAATGCCACATTAATGCTGATGGTGCTTTGATTAATACATTCTTCTCTTTTCGTGTAAGTTCAGCAACTTACACAGAAGGCCGATATATTTGGCTCTGACCGGAGATTTGCCAGCACAAGTGTTGCCAAAAGATCATCAGGTGGTTTCTTTAGCTGGCTTACTGGTGAAAAATCTGGCCAGGTTCCTCCTCTAGATTTTCCACTTCCTGGCATTAGACTTCCTCCCCCTTTGCCTGATTATGTTGAGCCAGGAAGGACAAAGATCACAACTCTTCCAAATGGTGTCAAAATTGCCTCAGAAACCTCACCAGTACGATCTTTCTGATCTTATTTGACTGTCCTTATTAGTTATCAGTCTCAACATCTTTTTATGTTTGATCAGAGCCCCGCTGCTTCGTTAGGGCTGTATGTGGACTGTGGTTCAATATATGAAACACCGGATTCATTTGGGGCTACACAGCTGTTGGAACGGATGGCCTTCAAGAGCACAACTAACAGAAGCCATCTACGCATTGTGCGTGAAGTAGAAGCCATAGGTGGAAATGTGAGTGTTTCAGCTTCTCGTGAACAGATGGGATATACTTGCGATGCTTTGAAAACTTACATGCCCCAAATGGTTGAGTTGCTTATTGATAGTGTGAGAAATGCAGTTTTCCTCGATTGGGAAGTTAATGAACAGGTGTTTTCTCTCACAGAGACCTTTTTTTTAAGGTCATAACTTGTGGTAATCTGTTTCGTTGAATTCCTTTTTTGTAATGTTAGGTGAATAAAGTTAAGGCAGAGACGGCTGAAGCTTCTAACAATCCACAAAGTTTGCTTTTGGAAGCTATTCACTCTGCCGGGTATAGTGGTGCGTTGGCGATTCCTTTAATAGCTTCTGAATCTGCCTTGAATAATTTAAGTAGTGGCATCTTGGAGCAATTTTTGGTTGTAAGTTATTGTACTTTTTCCTTGTTCTAAGCATTTGTTTCCTGTATTTTTCGTTATTGTAATCTGTATGTTCTGCTTATATCAGGAAAACTATACCGCTCCTAGAATTGTACTTGCAGCATCTGGTGTGGAACACGAGGAGTTGGTCAAAATTGCTGAACCACTACTATCTGATCTTCCAAAAACAGCCCGTCCTGAGGAGCCAAAGTCTGTTTATGTGGGAGGAGAATATCGACGTCAAGCAGATTCTACGGTGTGTATGCTACTGTGCAAGGACTATAATTATACTTCATGTTTTATTTACAATTTTCTATTTTATTACACTTCGTAACATCAATCTCATTACCTATTTCCTTTTCCTTTGTCAACTTTCTGTTCGACAGCAGGTAACACATCTTGCTCTTGCTTTTGAAGTTCCTGGTGGTTGGCATAAGGAAAAGGATGCCATGGCTGTCACAGTACTTCAGGTTCTAATGAAAAATTCTTTTACAAGTAACATGCATAATGTTGTCTATAACCCTATTTCGTTTGATTTTGTTTATGTTATTTTATGGGATGTTCATAAATTCTTATAAACGTATTCCATGTTATTTTAATTCTCCTTTCTTGACAGATGCTTTTGGGAGGCGGTGGCTCTTTTTCTGCTGGAGGTCCGGGGAAGGGGATGTATTCTCGGCTGTGTAAGTAAAACCATGTATTTTGCTTCTTGCACCAGTTTCCCGCTAATTCTTGTTTGCTATTATTTATGCCCTAGCCTTGTTTGTCTTTCTTATATTATGGTTAGAAATGTGGCAATATTTATACATGATTATTCCTTAATTTGATTCGTATCCCTGCTAATTTAAACTTGTCCATTATTCAGATCGAAATGTCTTGAATGAGTTTCAGCAGATCCAATCATTCTCAGCTTTTAACAGTATTTACAACAGTACTGGCATTTTTGGAATCCATGCAACTACTGTAAGAGTGTATATTCCTATTATGAACCCCTAATGCTTCTCGTTTCATTTTCTATTATTTTAGCACTCTCAGCATTTCATATTTGTTTTCTTTCATTTTGAAGCTTAGTAGTATGGTTTATTCATCTTTCCCTTCATTTCTGATCTTTTTCGCTGCATTCCATCTAGGCATTTATTGACGGTGCAGTTTTCTTAGATATGGTTTTAATTGTTATGGATGTTCTGTTAAATTTCAGCCGTCCCTTGGCATTTTGATCCCATGGCTAGGATGTGAATCCGTGGGAGGCTCACCTAATAAATCCTAGTCGTCCCTTGGCATTTTGATCCCAATGCTAAGATGAGAATCCGTGGGAGGCTCACCTGGATCACACCGATCTCCTTCCATATTTAGATGACTGATTTAGGAATGATTATATTAGTGCAATTATGCATTATTCTATAATTACTTGTTTCTTTATTAAGATATCTTGTATAGATCTATAAATAGGAACAAGTTTGTGCAATAAAATTGATATGTCACCAAAAATTATCTTGATTGAGTACGAATCTTGATGAAAAATTGAGTTGAAAGTTTCCAAAATTAGATATGGGACCATACGAACTCCAATTTCAACAAACTTATAATCGAATTGAACGTCTCAAGAAGACGAGCTCAACGACACCAAATTAAACTCAATCCGATCTCGAATGGGTCCAAAACAAGGGTCTGAAGCGCTGTTGAAGGGTTCAAAGCACAATTTGGATTACCAAACAGTTTTCAAATATGACATGCTTATGGTCAAATCGAGCAGCTCGACGAGACGAATCCAACGAGCCCAAGATCACTGAATTCCGAAATCATTAAGGCGTCCAATTGACCAATAAACGGTCAATGATCAAGGGGATCGATATCGACCGTCCATTCAAACCACTCCCATTTTGACCTTGATCCTCCACATATTTACAAGCTATGCCACTCTCCAAAAACTATAAATAGCCCCCACTCTTCTCATGAGAGGGAGGAAGAAGAAGGGAAGGAAGGGAGGAATTTGGGAGCTCTCTTTCCATCGACCACCGCCGGAGTTCCTGCCGACCACCGCCGGAGTCCCTGCCGACCATCGCCGGAGTCCCTGCCGACCACCGCCGGAGTCCCTTCCGACCACCGCCAGAGTTCCCGCCGAACACCGCCGAGGAGTTCCTGCCTACTACCGCCAAAGTTTGTCGACCACCGCCAGAGTTCCTCTCGAACTCCGCCAGAATTTTCTTGCCAACCATCGCCTGGATTTTCTTCTGGATTGTTGCTAAAGCTCTTCCCAACCATTGTCTTATTTTGGTCGATTCATCAATCATCGTTAAATTTTTGTCTGATTATTAACCTGTTGTAATTCCAGCGTCTCCAAGTAAAAGATTGAATCAAACCTTGTAATCAACCCAAACAGTGGAATTTCTCATCTGGGCCAGGCCCCGTGGTTTTTCCCTTTCAGGTTTTCCACGTAAAAAAGTTTCTACTGTTTCTCTTTCTTAATTTTCTGTTGGTGTGCTGGATATACGTAAATTGCTAAGACGTTATATTTTTCATTCTACCGTCGCGTATATTCTAGTCCACAACAATTTGACGCCGTCTGTGGGAAAGCTTTCCCAATATTTCTTCAATGGCTGATCGAAGTAATACCAGCAATAGAGTCTCTCACTCTAATAAGCATCGAACTAGATTCCCATCTGGCAATCATGGACGTCGTAATTATCAGAGGGAAGGGCCTTCTTCCTTGGAAAATCGAATACGTAGGATGGAGGAACAACATACAAGGATCCTCGAAATATTGGAGGAGGTAGGCCAGCAAAGGATGCTGTCTCAAAATGATGAACCTCCTCTCCATCATCGCCAACAATATGATACGGATCAGCAATTTGAAAATGTTCATCAAACTCATGCTCCTCCTCTGCAATATAATCCAGAAATAGATGATGCTGCTAGTTCAACACATCCTCCACCTAGAGCCCATAATATGCAAAATCTTCAACCCGCTCTAGATACTCCTCGCGATGTCATAAGAGATGAATTACGACGACTCGTCCAAGAAGAATTCCCAATAAGGGATAAGAATCATTTCAATATCCAACGAAGCTTTCAAGAATTTTCTCCGCTAACATACGAACTTCTTATACACCTTATTCCAACAGGGTTCAAGCTACCAAACATTGATGCATACGATGGGTCATCTGATCCCTATGAACACATTGATCATTATCGAACAATTATGCACATACAGCGAGCTTATGATGCGCTTCTTTGTCAAGTTTTTCTTGCCACCCTAAATGGTCAAGCTCGCACATGGTTCTATGCTTTCCCTAGAAATACAATTCATAGTTTTGCCCATCTAGCAAAACTCTTTGTTGAACAGTTTGTTGCTAATCGAAGAATTATTAAAGATTCATCACATCTCTCTGGAATCCGTCAGAATGAAGGAGAATCTTTGAAAGACTATTTTCAAAGATTTTCTTCTGAAGCTCGACAAATCCGAGGAGTGGATCCTGAATTATTACGAGGTGTTTTTCTTGGAGGGTGCGCCCTGGACCATTTTACTCTTCATTAATGCGAGAAACAGTTCATTCTTATGCTGACTTAATTCATAGAGTAGAAGCTCAAATTACTGCCGATGAGGCTATCAATGCTCATCAAAAACAATTTGAACAACCTTCTAATAAGAGAAAGAATGGCCACGAAGTTGGAGCTGGAGCCCAAAAGTCTCAGAAGAGGAATCAAGATCTTCCACCACACCCCCCTCATCAAAATCAGAATTACTGGCCAAAAAAGGAATACACTCCGTTGAATACAACTCGTGTTAATATTCTTATGGCTATACAACATGAGCAAACTATTAAATGGCCCCAACCACTAAAGCCAAATTCTGGAAATCAAGATTATTATTGCCACTTTCATCGAAGCCGCGGACATACAACTGAAGCCTGTAGACAATTGAAGGAAGAAATTGAAAGGCTAATTTAACAGGGATATCTTCGTCAATTCACTCAAAATCCATCTGTGCAAATTGAGGCTAATCCTGCTGGGGGGCAGAATTAACAACAGCAGCATCAACAGCAACAAAGGCAACAGCATACAAACCGCCAGATAGTTGGAGAAATTGAAACTATTGTAGGAGGACCCTTAATATCCTCTCAAGTCTTACTCACCAGCCCGGAGGAACCGACTCTAAAGAAGGCACGACCTGATCACTCCATCATATTTGAGGATTCTGACTTAGAAGGGATTCATACTCCGCACCAAGACTCACTTGTCATTAATGCTGGTATTGGAGATCCATGTTAAAACGTTAAAAGAATCTTAATCGATAATGGGAGTTATGTTGATGTCCTAATTTACTCAACTTTTCTTAGTATGGGTTTGGCTAGAGAAAAGCTTCAACCTGCCGCTGGACCATTGTATGGATTTGATAATCGTCCAGTAAGGGTGGAAGGAACAATTACTCTCCCTGTCACACTTGGGGAATTTCCTCGACAAGTTACTCATTCAGTTCAATTTGTTGTTGTTAAGTCAGAGTCGGCATATAATGCTATCTTTGGGCGACCTATGCAATCAATTTTTAGAGCTATCGCCTCAGTGCCTCATTTGAAGATGAAATTTCCAACTCCAGCAGGGATTGGAGAAGTGCGAGGAAATCAACATGAAGCATAATCTTGCTATCTCAGACAGGCTCAACCTCGCCCATCTGTTACTTCAAGCATTGAAAATTCTGATATGCAAAATGAATATGTCCTTTATAGAGCCTCCCCGGTGGAGGATTTAATTTGTCTCCATATCAGAAGAAGATCCACTCATAACGGTGCAGATCAGATCTTTACTTTCTGTTGAAGAAAAGATACAATATATAGATTTTTTTGTGAAAAAATCAAGATATTTTTGCATGGAGTTCGACAGATATGCCTGGAATTGACCTGCAAATTATTATGCACTCTCTCACGATAAATCCTACATCTAAACCAATCATCCAGAAGAAGAGAAATTTTGCACCAGATCGCCAGCAAGTTATAGAGTAAGAAGTAGATAAACTTTTGAAAGCTGAATTCATAAGAGAAGTATATTATCCAACTTGGCTTGCAAATATCGTGATGGTTAAAAAAGCTAGTGGGGCATGGAGGATGTGCGTGAATTACACAGATCTCAATAAGGGTTGCTCAAAGGATAGTTTCCCACTTCCTTGTATTGATCAATTAGTTGATGCAACATCTGGACATCAAATGTTAAGTTTCATGGATGCATACTCTGGATATAATCAAATAAGAATGGATCCTGCAGACGAGGAAGCAACTGCTTTTCAAACTGATAAGGGGCTATATTGCTATAAGGTCATGCCTTTTAGACTCAAGAATGCTGGAGCAACTTATCAACGCCTCATGAATAAGATTTTTAAAGACCTCATAGGCCGTTCAATGGAGGTATATATAGATGATATGTTGGTTAAAACTCTTGAAAGGACAAAACATATTTTTGATATGGAGCAATGTTTTAGTTCCTTCGACATTACAACATATGACTCAACCCTGCAAAATGTGCTTTTGGAGTCGCATCTGAAAAATTCTTGGGATTCATGGTTACTTATAGAGGTATAGAAGCTAACCCTGAAAAAAATCAAAGCTTTGAGAGATATGGTGCCCCCAAGGAATATAAAAGAAGTTCAACGTCTAAATGGAAGAATTGCTGCCTTATCTCGTTTCTTGGTCCGTTCAGGAGATAAATATTTTTCTTTCTTCAAAATACTAAGAAATGCTTGAAATAAAGGATTTCAATGGACATATGAATGTCAAGCAGCTTTTGAACAACTTCGAACTTATTTGGCTTCGCCCCCTCTTCTGTCAAAACCAATCCAAGGAGAAAGATTATATTTATATCTGGCCGTCTCTTCAAATGCCATAAGCTCAGTGCTAGTCCGAGAAGAAAATGCTATTCAATGACCAGTATATTATGTTAGTAAAATTCTTTCTTAGACTGAAGGACGCTACCCA